ATGGGCGGCAAGCCACTCCCATCCAGTCACATGGGCGACAAGCCACTCCCACAAAGGAGGCCACACCCACAGAGTAGGTTCGAACAATTTTTGAAGCCCACCACTGCTTCCAGCCCTATGATTCTACGCTTCTACTTTGATTGACTGAGTTACAAATCAGAAGTCAACAGGAGTTCTGAAAGTGTCAAGTCAGACCAGGTACTGCTTTGAAAAGGAAGAATTCATTTGGCCTTTTCTATAAAGATGATGAAGAAATCAAAGTAAATGCTGGCTATTAGCTTTGTCAGCTTTATTTTTAGTATGAACTTCAATTTTTTTGAGAGTTCCACAGGGTTGCAGAGCTCAAAGAGATTTTGCACACTGCAGTTTGCTACCCAGAAAGTCCTAACTAAAGAAACAGATTCCCTATGAGCTTTTTTTCATCCAATCTGAACATATTAATTTTATTAAAGCTTTAAAACAGTAAGGGTTACTTTGCTTATAAGACACCTTGTGGCACGGTAAAAACATCACACTTCTGATATGATTTTTAACATCCAAGGTTGGGATAATTTAGAAATAATTTTCACTTACCAGCTTGAAAGACAGAAGTCTCAGGATCCAACTCCAGTAACCATCTGTGAATACAGCAGAGAATATTGTATTAGAAAGGGCCAAAATCTCAGCAAGAATGGAGCAACATTGACAAGTGTTGGAAAAGGAAAAGGACAAATCCAAAGTTGGAAAGTCAAGACGTAATCAGAATTGTGAAAATGTAATCAGATAACTAAATCAGAAACTAATTTATGAAGGGCTGAGCACTCTTTGGAAGTCTAAAGGATATGGGACTGAGTGTTGAAGGAGCAAGAAGATTTAGCCAAAAGATCAGGATTCTGCCTAATATTGAATACCTCCTTTAAAAAGGTACCAGTAGTAATAAAACTTTAGAAAAACAAATGCCTCAATCTTCCACTTCAAAAATACCTGCTAATTGATGTAAATATGTTTACAACTAACCCATCATCGAAGGTTAAAGCAAGATGGGAAGTTTAACTTCTGATGTATTTAAACTGCATTTCTTCATTAACTGGGTTCTTTTATTTCATTTCTTGTCACAATTGCTTTGAAAGGAAACACAGTTTTACAGCTGCCTTTTGCTGCAGTGGAATTTTGTTTTATGACTGACTTTAGTCTGTAAAAGTTTTATACTGTTTTACGTCATTAGATCTGAGGATTCCCACCATTAAATTAAAATCCTCAAATATGATACAGTGAGTGGAACACTAAGATTCAAGCCAGCCAAAGCTCAATTTCAAACTTTCTGTCAGCAGTAGTGCTGATAAGACATATAAAACAAATCTCTGACAAATTCCTTTAGGAATGGATAAATGTAAGAGTTCAAATAGTCTCTGTTTCAGCATTGAGGGGTGTAACTAATACATTGGTTATCATCCATTTTTCTCAGATCAAAACCTTCACAAAAATGTGTATGAGCAACACGCTCAAGAATAAATACATCTATAAAAGTTATGCATTGAAAAATGTAGAGCATGGTGGTGCAGTGGTTAGAATGCAGAATTTCAGGTTGATTCTGCCCACAGCCAGGAGTTCAATCCTGACTGGGTCATGATTGACTCAGCCTTCCAGCCTTCCGAGGTCAGTAAAATGAGGACCCAGATTGTTGGGGGCAAGATGCTAACATTGTAAACCACTTAGAGAGGACTCTAAATCACTGTGAAGTGGTATATAAGTCTAAGTGTTATGTAGTGATGTAAAGAGAAACAGTTCTTACATCGTAAAAATGTCAATTTACAAAAGTGTATCCTGGATAATCAGGGAAATGTATATTAAAGGGCTAGTTTTTTCAAAGAATAAATGTGAACCACTACACATATTATATTTAAGTGAAGCTACGTACAGAAGCACTGAATGATAGAAAACATACCTACCCCCCAAAATCTAGAATTTTAAAGCCTTGCTAGATTAAATTACTTTATATGATTTAGAGAATTATATAAAGAAAACGGGAAAGGGCAGCTTTAGATTATAACTCCTTTTTTTCCTATCTGTATAAAATAAATAACTCTTATGATAGGTCTCTCCACATTGCCTTCACCCTTTTTTCTCAAACTAAAGATATTTGAATCATTTGCAAAGGTATTAGAAGTATCTGGTTAACAAGTTAGCCATTCATGATTAATTTCTTACATTAATCTTGGGCATTTTTTTCCAGTTTGTGCACGGTTACCCAATGGGAAACTTCATATGTATCTGCCCTTTACCACAAAATATCTCGTGTGAAAGAGCTCGTAATCTTCCAGAGCTTACAAATCTTCTTCTTCTTTGCCTCCTTCCACTCCTCAGCCTCCCATTACCACAAATTTTTCCTCTACATCCTCCCACCCCTCTTCTGCACTGACCCATTCGTTGTTCAAAGCAATGCCTTAAACAGTTCATATTTTGTTAATTGTACAAGCCTAATGGAGGAGTGTATTGGCAAGAAGGGGAGGGTAACGGCCATCAGGCCAGCAATAAAACAAAATTAATGGTCCATAGGAAGAAATCATGTCCACTTAATATCAGCTTTGAAACTCTAATAAAATAATGTGATATCAACAGCAGCAGTGCGTTCTGTCTCATTCTGACACACTCATACACAATGTACGCAGATTGCTTACACCACATTAAATCACTCATAAAACAGACCCAGTTCAACTGAAGCTCACAAGATCCTCCAGGGAACATAGCAGACCAGAAATATGTTGTGTAAGGATCATTACCAGCATGCACAGCTGTAGTAACACCCACAAAATCCAGCCCAGAGGCAACACAGGGGGGAGAGGAGTGTTCCTGGAATAGAGAATGAGGTCTCCATCAGGGCTTCAGTAACCCTTTCAAAAAATGTTGTTCTACTGAACGCTTTGGAAACTCAAAGCCGGAAACCTGGCTTCACAGCAGATAATGCTGGAGAGAAGGAGAAGGAGAGGACTTCAGATTTTCCATCGGTGATGCTATAATGTCACCAGGAGTAAGACAAAAGGCAATACTTGGAAGATAACTGACTTTGGAAATTCTATCAAACTAGTAAAGTTCATGAAATATAGGTGGCTGGAGTATAATTGTCTTACCTCTTTCTTGACAAGGTAGGCAAAGGCATGAAGTGAACGTCCTTGCCTTTAATTATCACCTGTTAAACCACATGCTAAATTCTATGATATCAGTAATATCCCAAGAGAAGATATTAGTGCAACAATTCCTTCCATCTGGGTTTTTCAATAGTGGAGCCCTTGCAGTGTCACCCCAATAGGGAAGACTGACTCAAGCTTTCCCTTATTTGCCCCAACAAATGGTAAGAAAGATCCTACTGAAGGATGAGCTCCTACAGCATCATTCTTTGGGCTGCCGAGTAGCTTTTTACCATCTCTATCTAGATTTCTTTTTCACGGGAATTCCATCAAAGTTGAGCTCAATTTCTGATGACTTCATGGATACTGTTAGGTAAGCTCCCTGTTGGGACAGCAAGTATATTCAGAGAAGCGTTGTGAGAGTTGTGTTGGAGAACATACAAACCAGCATACAGAGACACTGCAGTTT